CCGCGCCTTGGGGGAGACAGCAAGAGCCGTACAAAGGCAGACAGTGACCAGCGCTCGGCAGGGGCGGCGGGGCAGGGGGACGCAGAAGGCAGAGGGGGCACAAGAGGGGGAGCGGGACCGGGGAGAGGCGAGGCAGAGAAAGGGAAGAGGAGATTCGATGGCGAGTCAAAGCTGGCACTCACTCAGGGGAAGCGAACACTGGAAAATGGCACCTTCCTGGGTGTTCGCCACATGCAGCGTGCGCATGCAATGGGTCAGTGCTTTATAACACTAGACATCATAGAAAACAAAGAATGGCTGCTGCAATAGATAGCGAATCAAACATTAGAGCTACAACAGGCAGCATAAAGCAGAGAATAAGGCTGAACATATGAGGATGGCAGCCGTAAAATACAACCACGAAGGAATGAAGACAATGGAAAAACATATGTGTTGCAGGAATGATCACCCGCCTACTGCTCACATCCGAATTTCGACAGCCACACTTGAGTGATATGCGTCACGTACTCATCCATGCTTATTTTCCCATCACCGTCAGTGTCGATGCAGTTGAAGAGGTTCTCGACGTCCGTCGAAGACATGGGCACCGGTGAGCAATCGGTGAGCATAGCATGAAACTCAGACAGCTCGAGCAAATTGTTGCCGTCCTTATCGAAGAAATGGAAAACGTCTCTGATGCCCTCCAGACCAGGAACGCCAGTCTCTACCGTGGCCAGCTTGAAAGCCTGGACGAAGCTCCGAAAGTCCATGCCCTCCGGCGGCAACCACGCAAGCAGGCGCTGCAGCGACGCAGGGCTGACGCAGCCTGCAAGGACGCTTCAAACGACGAGGCCGACCACGACCACGAACGCGGCCGCAGCCACGAAGACGACAACGAAGACGACCAAGACCACGATCACAAGACGAAGCCAGGACGAGGACAACATCGGGTGAGGAGAAATCGAAAATCTCTGAGATCCAGCCGCTCTGGAGGATATCTCGGGCGCCGCGGTCTTCTCAGAGCGTCCCGGAACACTCTCTGAGCCGTTCCGGGAACGCTCTGGAACAAATTGATCCTCTTCCTTTCTGGGCCCTCCCCGACTGGAGACGGCATGCGCACCTCGCTCCCCGACGTTGCTCCTTCGGGGGCCTCGTCTGTCCTGCAAGCTGCTGGCTGCTCCCATGCCTCGCGCGGGTTTCGACGGGGAGTCGACGCGGAGTCGACGTGGATTCGTCGTGGACTGACTGGGACCCGTCAAAAAAGGGAGGGCAAGAAAGACGAGGACGGGGACTAGGAGGGAGGAGGGAGGAGAATGAGAAGCACGCGGAGGCGGCGGAGGAGTGAGGAAGGGAAGGATGAGGTAGAGGAGTGGCGAGGAAGAGGGAAGAGGGGTAGGGAGGGGGGGGGGGAGGGGGGGAAGAAGGCGGGGTGGAGGGAGAAGGGAGGGGGGGAGGCGTGCAGGAGGAGGGAGGGGGAAGGGGGGGACTGAGGGCCAAGGGTTAGCGGCAGGGAGGGAGAATTGCGATGGAGGAACGGAGGGGACGGAGGACGAGAGGGGAGTGAGAAAGAGGGGGGAGACTGAGGGGGAAGGGTGAGGGGAGAGAGGGGGGGGAGGGGGAGGGGGCGGAGGGGGGGGGGAAGAGGCAAGGCCGAGGGCAGCAACATGGGAAAGAAAGAAAGAGGAGGAGGAAGGGAGGGGGGAGCAGGAAGGAGGGGGAAGCAGCAGGGTGCGGGAGGGTAAATTGTGAGCCCCGCGAGGCCGCTGCCCATCAAGTCGTCGGCCGCTGCCGACATCTCCCGCGCGGTGATCCTGCTTTCCTCCTCCTCGTTCTCCTCCTCTTCTTAACATTGTTCACAGAATGCTTCGTATTACTATATTATGGTTTGCCTTCTTAGTAACATCATTACTATCATTGGTCGCCTTCTTAGTCTCACTACATTTCTGATTATTACTCAGATTATCCGTATGCGTCTGATTATTATATGTGTGTTATTAATCTTAAAACTAATATTATGAATAGTGGTGTTCTTAATTGTATTCCCCATATCCTAAGATGGGGTTATTGTTATTACTTGGACGCCTCCTACTCCTTGTTATTCTTCTCCCTCTTCTCCTCCCCTCGCCTCCTCATACCCAGACTTACTCATACACAGACTGACCCACACTCAGACTTACTCAGACACAGACTTACTCTCCCGTTCGCGGCCGCTTTGTGGGGATGCCTCAAGCGGTTTGCCTGTTGTCTGTCCCAACATCCTTCGCTGTCGGAGCAGATTTGGAGGATGTCTCGAGCGAGGCGCTCATGTTCACGTCCCTAAGGGGAGCCGCCGAGGGGTATTGCACGGTCCCGTTCGCGGCCGTTTTGTGGTGATGTCTCAAACGGTTTGCCTGTTTTCTGTCCCAACATCCTTCGCTGTGGGAGCAAATTTGGAGGATGTCTCGAGCGAGGCGCTCATGTTCACCCCCAAGGGAAGCGGTCCCGTTCGCGGCCGTGTTGTGGGGATGTCTCAAGCGGTGTG